TGCTGCTAGTGATCATTTAAATACTGAACTAGAAACCTCTGAAAATGAGAATAGTGGCCCCTCTTTTGTTTATGAATCCCAAGACATTTTCTAAAGTTCGGCAGAAAATATCAGTATTACTCCAGAAAACGCTCAGAAAAGTGTACTGTCAACAAGCTCAACACTGGTAGTTCCAATTCAAGAAATAAGCCCAAAACCTCAATCTTCTGCTCCTTACTGTAAGAGAAAAGCCAAAGGAGCTCAAAAGGCAGTCATTCTCACTTGCAGTCCATACAAAAGGAACCTAGAACAGAAATGGCAAGTAGGGCAGTGCAAAACAAATCAAGACACTAGTAAAATCATATGGCAAAAACAATGAAATAAAGGAATGTACAAAGAGGATCTGTGCAACAAATATTTTCTGACAATGTTACATTAGTTGTAAGACTGGTATTGTTGCTTGTGTGATGCTGCTTATGTAGAAGGTATGGTAAAGTTTTCTTTATGTTCCAAGTGGGCTCATGAGGCTTGTTCAGATATTCGTTTAGGCAGTAAATATCCATATGTTTGTGACTTTTGCAGAAGTTGAACATTTTGTGTCTGAAAGATCATTTTTTGTTATTGTTCTTTTTGTAGTGGTTACATTTATATACTTGACAATTTGTTTAAAAAATTAAGTCTATATTACGTAAGTGTGTATTTATGACTAAAACTAATTCAAATTGTTCTGATGTTTGTTCAATATTGCATAATAAAATAGGTTAAAAGAATGCTGTAATATGTATGCTGCATTCCATTTAAAACATGAGGAACGATTTACAAAACTGCAGGTGCAATTTGGGAAACTTGTTGCCCAAATTGCCCCATTTGCAGGTTACTGAGAGTGCTTCTCGAACTATTAAAACTTCAAAATTACCTGTTTAAAAAATAGGATAAAGTGACAATACCTGAATTATTGTCCCTCAAAAAGAGAATAGGTACATTAATTATTTATCATGAAAAATAAAATGAAAACTGAAAAGTAGGGTGATAAAGGAAACCTTCCCCTACATACATGAATTAGTGAAAAATTATACATTTTTGAACCAGTATGGTGGCTACTTAGAGACGCCGCAGCGGTATGGCGTGGTCATAATGGCCAACGAAAAATAATTTTCTACCATTAGACCAAAAAAATAAGTTTCAGCTCATAATACAAGAGGGTATTAAAAAACTGAGACTTTGAATTCAATATGGTGTCTAATTTGAGATGCCACATCGATATGGCATACAACTCCTTCACACTTTGGCTCTCTAACGAACAATATACAACAAGAATTAGCTATGTACTCATTCCCCAATGGTATAGATTTTTTTTTCTAATGTTTAGATATTTTTAGATGTTTATTTACATTTCAACATTTTGAATAAGTGAATTTAAACAATAAATACTCAATTTTTCCTTCCCCCATCACCAGTTGAGAATCACGGAGAAGTATTCAAGATCACTGAATAGAGATGTGAGTGCACTAAATATTGCTTCTATCACTGTCTAACTCAAAAACCATGGTTGGTCTCATATCACAATTTGGACTTTTCTGTCATTCCATATGTTGGATGTTTGTCCTATTCTTCAATAATAAGAAAGTTTCTCACATAGTGATAATTCAAGGACATCAAAATGTAAAGTACTCACCTGGCCAACATTTATAATTAATTTCTTGGAAGAAGTTGAAGTTAAGGTAAAATTGCGTACAACTTGAACAACAATGTCATATCTAGTCTGTAGCAAGTTTTTAGGAAAAGTCAGTAAATTGAGCTGGAAAAATTAAGTAAATTTTGTTGTGGGGAAATCCTGGATATCTTTACATTTCAGCATGTGGATCCTAAAGAAGGGTACAGTAAGAGGTAAAGAATTAGCTTATGTCATTAGTGTGACCCATATTAGGATAATGCGTGGTATGTTGACATCTGTACAGAATATTGCAGCAAGGTAATCTAGAAAAAGTCAGCGCAGAGCATCAAAATTTACTTTCAGGGGCACAAAAAATAGAGGTGAATGGGAGTCAGTCCAAAAGGCGGATTAAGTTGCAACTCTATGCTATATACAAAGCAAACACAACTGCTTAGAATGAAATTCACTGTTATATAGGAAAACCTACATACTTTGGTAGAGCGTATCATGTGCACAAAATTAAGACAAAACAGAAAACAGATTTCAGGAAATTTCACAAATCAAACTATTAGAGATTGGAATAGTTTGCCTGCCTGTTTGCTTGCCTCAAAGCTCGAGCAAGTTTAAAAATAAATTAATTTTGTAGCTTATTATGTATATTTTAGGTGAACGTATTACTGTAAAGTTTCTATTGTTATATTAGTAGTATTTCCTATTAACCTTTAAGTCCCAACATTGCATAAATGCAATATTTAATATTTATATTTTTTAGGAAAACGATTAGATATAAATATGTTCTGTATCACTAATGTACTAGGAAGAAATGCTATTTGATCAGGTTTGCCCTTTTCATTCATATCCCACAGTAAAATTAGCTTCATTGAATTTTGAAACTTGGAGATAATGTAGTGAATTGAGATACAGATATTAAATTTTTAATTTAATTATTAAACAATGTTATTTTTTTATTGTATATTACTCAACAAACTACCTTAAACCTCCTTTTATCGATTCAGAATATTTATTATGTAAATCAGTCCTTACATAGCTTATTGATAATTTACAATAAAACTGCATTTACGCAACAAATTATTAATACTAGTATTATATAATTATTAGTGCGGTATATGGTCTGAACATGATAGAACAAATGTAAGTGGAATGTAATCATTGAGGAATAGATATGTAACTACTGTTTTATATTTCTGTTCTTGATATAATTATCTCATCTTGGAGGTAGTGTCTTAGCCTGCATTGCTGCTTCATTGTTTAAACAATGCTTCAACTGTAATTATATATCTTCAAAATTCTGCTTATTTTGGGTATGATAGAAGAAAATAAAGACATATCAACAGCTGAACTTATGTATTTCTGGAGAAAGATGTTGATCATTTTTCTGCAAATATGATTAATGCTATGCACATTCCTCCTAATTTTGAGGAAATGACAGATAAAGAAAACCTTGATGAACTTCTGGTGAAGGAGTAGAAGAAGAAAAATTGGTTTGCTGTGCAATTGTCAACTCCAGGAAAATATATATTGCAAATGAAGAAAAGATGTCACAACTATAATTTCACTCTTACTTAGCCATGACTAATGAAATCTGAAGTCTGTGCAAAAGGAAGTAAATGCAATAATGAGTAAATGAATGCACAGGACACTGAAATATTCCATTTTGGTTGACCCACAAACACTTCTCTACCTAAAGAAGTGCATTATGATAATGAGTGACCAACAAAGGTGGCTCAGGGCATAAATTTGTCACAGCAGTGCCTCTGATGTGATCATTCCTTCCTCATACTTGTCGTATCCTCACCCGTTACTTGTACTACACTACCATACTTGCCGGGAGACAAGAGCTGGTTTCTGTTTATGCGGTGCATTGTTAGTGGGAGATACCTGTTTATGTAGTGCAGTGCAGTGTTTGTCTTATGAAATGGAGAGAAAGGAATGAGGAAGAAATGCATCAGAAGTGCAGTGCAGTGGAATTAAGTATTATTTTTTATTATTATTATTAATTATTATTTTTTAATTAACTACTCTCTTGGTTTTCAATGTAACATTAATGCATGTAAAGTTAAGATATTCTGCCACCAAGTTACAACACTAAATTGCAGAATTAATAATAAATGTAACCTATCTAAAACTTTAACCATCAAATTCAATTCCAAAATATCACTCACATTCATGAAAGTTCTGGGAATGACGGATAAAAAAAATTCATTTGTTGAAGATAAATACAACTGAAGTTATCATTCAGTAAAGAAGTTAAATATTTGCGAGAGAAACTGGATAGATAAATTAAATAACCCCGAGCTCCTTCGTGAAATGGCAACACAGCTTGTGGTAAAAAAAGTATTTTTTGTAAAATTGTATTGAAAAGATAGGGTACCATACTGGAATCAAATATTTGGATCCACAATAGAGAATTCTTGTAATGATGATATGAAAATAAAACAAAAACCTTGTAGGGCACAAAGAAAATAGTTTAATTTCTTTATGAAGCCGTTAATAAGAGTTATTCTCTGTATAATGAAACAAAATTAATATCAATTTAATTAAATGAATCGCTTACTCCAATTCAATAGTTATTTAATCCGATTAATACTTTATTGAATTTGTTTGATATCTTTTAATTTCAATTTAATTGACAATGAGGGATATAGATTCATGTCTGACGGATTCTAAGATGTGAAGGTTTATTCTATACATTGCTCAATGAACATATATGGTAAATGCCTACTGACCTGCACTTGCTTGGAGGTGGGACTCTGGCAGACTCTGCAGGACATCAAGTAGAAATTGATTTAAAATAATAATAATAATAATAATAATAATAATAATAATAACAACACATTTGAATTGATTGAGTGGTGATTCACGTCAATGCCTAAGGTCATTAATCTGTATGTGTAGTGCATGTTTTATCATGGGAGGTGGCGGGGATCTTCCCCGGCTGAATGGTGAGATCCCGCGCCGACCTATGTCAGCTTGCAGGGATATTCTCTAAACATGTATTTCCCACCAACATGGAATCGTCCCAGCTGAGATGAGTGCTTCGTTGTTGACAAGTGTGACAAGTAAGGTAAATGCACACCAGTTGTTGGTACTTTCAAATACAATGCTTACAAATAAGAAAATAACTACACTGTAGTTACTGCTATACACAATTTCTGTGCAGTGGGGTCATCTGCACTGTAAACTAGTAACAACCATCATACTAGTCTAGCAATTAACATTATTCTTACAGGGCTTCTCAGTCCTTCAAGTTCGTTCATGAGGAGCTCTTCTGCAAGGTTAGCTATTGACCAACAACTTAAAACATTTTTGGAAATATAATAAAACATCATTTTAACAACTTTGAGAAAATAAACTTGCACCGTATATTTTGGAGCAACTTATTTATTGAACAATTGAATTCATTACACATTTTTCCTTTTGTAACAATGTAGAAAATCCTGCAAAAGTTAACAGTAGACAAGTCAATACAGTTCCCAAACTATGACATGAACACAGTCCATAGTAACTTATCCAAATTAATTGTTCTCATCTGGTGGAAGGCGAAGTTCTGGGTAAGGCTCATTTGCAGATGGCTGTGGTGGCAATACACCTCCAATAGCTCCATCGTCTGCTTCCACTCCAGGAGCTTCCAAAACAACTGGAGCCACAACAGGATTTCCTCCAGCATCTAATTCTAAAGCAGGATCTGCTGTAGCTTCAGCCAGGTTTGTAACCGATTTGGATTTCACACACTGCAAAAACAATTTCATTGTTTCAAAAATATGCAAACACTTAATATAATGCATGCAATCAAAAAGTAAAGTTTATAGCTGATGCAGTGCATCACTACACACCTAACTCATTATTCTGTTTTGTCATGTCATGATTAAAACTATAACCATAGAAATACAATATCAGAAATAAGGAGGTATTGCAAGTTCGCTTTAGCAGAGAAACATCTATAATCCGAGTAAGATACAGAAAGAGTTCATATTAACGATGTTGAACATTGTGAATCAGGAGCCTTTTGCCTGATTCTGCGTCCCTTGACGTCAACATCGCGAGGATTCCAACTTTCTCGAGGCTTTTAGTACGACAACAATACGTAGAAAGGCAGGCAGGGTGATGCTGTTGTTTAAAGAAGTGTCTGTCCCTTTAAAAAAAAAATATTTTTTTTAGGGACTCTTCACTCTGGGAACTTTTTTTGTTGTTTAGTTATTTTTTGTTTGAGACCCCAGAACAAGAATGGGGATCAGGAATTCAGGTGAGTGAGAAGTGATGTGGCAAGTTCGAACAGCTAACCGAGACCAAATGAAATACAAAACTAATGTGGTAAAGCCTGTGCAATTCTATAGCACCACTAGTTTCTTTTCTTAAAGATGTTGCTTCATCAATAGCTCAAAATGAAGCACCCATTGAAAGATTTTTAGATCTTTCGAAAGCTTTAGATGTTTTTGACCATAATGTCTGCTCTCAAAATTACCTTCTCATGGAATACACGATATTGTCCTAGACTGAATAACCTCGTACCTTAAGTATCGATCTCAAAGAGCAGAAATACCGCGTTTGTATGAAGTGGCATTATATTTCCAATTCTCTACCAATTGAGCATTAGGGTTCCGCAAGGTTTGATCTTAGGTCTTATCCTCTGTCTGTTATTTGTAAACAAGATGTCCTAGTCTATTTAAAATGGAGGAACAGTTCTGTTTGCCGATCACAGGAATGTTCTTTGCGAAAAAAGAAACAATAAATAGTACAATTTCAGAAGTTTCAAATTCTTTTCGTAATAACAAATTAATAGTTAATGAAGGAGAAACTGTTTCAATGCATTTTTGCATTTTAAATCTGCTATATCATGCTCTATTGAAAATGAACAATATGCAATTAGCTGATGTTTAAGTAACAAAATTTCCAGGTATCTCAATTCAATGAAACCTCAAATGGAATGTATATATAACAGAATTCAACACTAAATTAAGTTCATTATGTTATGCATTGAGGATTCTTTCAAATTCTGTCAGCATTCATGCAGCTCGTTGTGTGCATTTTGCAAAAGTACATTCCCACCTGAGATAAGGCATAATATTCTGGGGAAGCTCATTTTGTAGTACCCAGACCTTTAGATTGCAAAAGAAAAATATTCAAACAATGAAAAAATGCCATCTATATGATCCCTGTAAGCCTTTCTTCATTGAACTTGGAATCTTACCATTCCCATGCCTATTTATTTACAAATCTGTCATTTCTGTCAAAACTGACTTGCCCGACGATGGGGAACATATTTTCTTGCAATACTGATATTTATAATTACAACACATGTCGTAGTAATGACTTTCATCAAGTGTCTGTATCAACAGCTGACTACAAGAAATCCACATAAAATACATGTATGTTACTTTACAACACATTGCCAGATGACATTAAACAATTGAACTCAGCACACAACTTTAAGTTAAAAGTAAAATCTTTCTGACAAACAATGATATATATGCATTAATTTACAATTGTATTGTGTAATTAAAAAAAAAGATTTAAAGTGCTGTAACAAATAATGTACTTCAACTTCCAGGTCAGTGACCCCATCTGGATCAGGTTTTGCTTCTGGACATAAAAGTAGTTTCACTATGCGTTTGTTTTGTTTGTAGTGGTGGTAGTGGTATGAGTAGAGCTAGGGGTGAATTTCTGTTTAGTTGGCAATACAGAGGAATCAAATCTGGAGTTTTCTATAACTCAGGAACGAAAGTCAAGTTTCTACAAATGTTACTAATTTCACGTTTTTTTGTTTGTTTTTTTCTTTCTTTTTTTCTTTTCAATTTTATTATTAATTTTTAAAAACTTTTATTCATCTTTCAACCATTTCTAATTGGGAAGGGGTTCTGGAATTCAAGAAAACATGCACAGTTTATTTTCTGCCCCATATGTCACATACAAATTCTTTTGTTTTTGGCTTATGGTTGTACAAGTGGAACAAGGTATACATGTGGAAACAAGTGGTTTCGGAAAGAAAATATTCCCTTCAGGGTAATAAAAACTATTTGCAAAGGCAGACAGCTAGTAGCTATTATCCCTCATCAGGTCTTTTGTGAAGGAATCGACTTCCTGTTGCGAGAATGTGGAAGTTCAGTTAATATCGAAAGATATTTGTTATGATGTTTAACAAATTTATTTTCATTTGACATTAGGATTGTAGTTTCAAAATGTGTATTTGACGACTGCAGTTTCTTCAGTAGATCGCCTTGGAAAAAAATTTCAGTTAGTTTGCCTGACATTGCTTGGAGTCTTAATACTCTTTTGCACATTTTGTGTTGGTATGCGAAGAAGGATGTGTGAATGACAATTCAAACCACAATTATTGTTTGCGATAAGTTTTATTGTTGTCACTCTTGTCGCTGCTTATGAACTGGGACCGATAAATCATTCCCCAAAATCTTCTGATTTTGTGCACATTTTTCGAGTAGCTTGTATCTTTGGGTTAGTGAAGATTAGGAGTGGTCATTATTTGTTTCCTTGACATAAGACAATTTACTCAGAGGAAAATTTAATAACTAGTGGAGCTACAACAGCATGTACTTTCACGCACTTAGTAACCGTTACAGAATATTATAATATCGCAATTTCTGTCAAAATTAACAAATCTCAGTATCTTCTCCATAGGTCACATATAGTTTTTACTGTTTTTTGACTAAATAAAAAAAACTAAAATTTGTAAAACGCATTTTAAATTGTAGAATATTAAGTATGAGAATATTTTGCAAGCTTATATATCAACAATTCGACAATGAAATGCGTATTTTAGCTTAAACATTAGAAGTTAAGAATACGACCCATCGGTGACACTGCGGTAGCTTCTGCCAGTTGTGACAAGCGCGGCGTTCATAAAGCAGCATTCGTTTGGCATATACAAGTAAAATTCTAAACCCATTAATCTTGATAGCGCAACGAAAGGATAGGGCAACGAAATGAAAATGGTTCGAAAAATATATAATAGTAATTACTGAATACATATCATTGTAATAATAATCGAATATGCTCGTTTTAATATGAATTACACGTTATTATCCTTGCCTTTATATGCAAAGCTAAATGCTCCATAAGTTATCCCACTTTAAAAAAAGTACTCTAAAAAATCACGAGAACTACTCAGATTCTAAACGGTTACGTAACAGTGACTCCATACATTCGGCATATGCCGCGCAGCGAGCTACTGCTCGCCCAATCCCGAACAACTGATGTGTTCAGCAAATGTTCACTTCCTTTGATGTATCCGAAAGACCGATACGCTGAGATACGACGAGCACAGAATGTTCGTCATTCGACAAATAGCAAGCAACTCATCCACATTACTAGGGATTCGGCGATCGGTTGTTCATTACTCGTCAAATAACGAATGTGTGGCCCCGCCTTAATATTATAACATCGCAATTTCCATCCATATTAACACATCTAATAATGTCATCACAGTCATCACTTAAAACTCATTACAAATCGCGGAACATTCGGTGCGAAAACCGACTCTTTTTAAGCTAATATATATCCACACACATTCGACACTTAAAACTGCGTTTCACACAGCTATAACATCTCCAAACAATGAGCAGGAGCTCCCAGATTTCCTACTGGTATACCGCAGCGGGCGTGCCATTGTTGATGGTAATCTGATACATTGTGGAGCTAGCAAATGCAGCGCGGAAATTTGAATTCGCAAATTGCAAAATTATGTACTCATCTTTAAAAACTCATACATGGTCTTTAAAGGACTGATTTTTTAGAACACATTTCCATTAAGAAAAAATCTCTTATCAACAAAATTGTACTTTTGCAATTATAATTTGTTGTTTGCTATTAGCGAGATACAGAGAGTTCGCCGAAAATGAGACCAGTAACATCTTCCTATGCCGTTTTTGCTACATACCAGGAAAAAATGTAAAGAAAAACGTCGGAGTTGTTTTTAGGGAAATAATTGTTTCAAAATTGCCTTTTTCATGCACAATTAAGCAAAAGTACTAATATTTTGGAAAAATTGCTCTGACATAACCTTATTTGAAGATCTGGTTTGATGAACACATTTCGTTATGGAAAAAATGCGTATCTTCATTATTGTAGTTCTTAGAAGACGCCTAAAAATGATCTTTTGCAACTCTGTGATTTCGCCGAAAATGAAAACCTCAGCATTTCTTTAAGAGTTCATACTATTCAAGGACAAAGTTTAATCCAAAAGTTTGGAGCCATTTTTGAGAAAACATTGAAAATGTTGAAACTGCATGTGAAGTCCTACCTTCAAAAATCAGAATATTCGTTTCAAACTCGCAGGGACTCGAGATTGTTCAGATCGATCATGGAATGTCAAATCTCAAATGTCATGGATGGTACAAAAACTGGCGCTGCTCCCGTTTCCAGCGAACTCAGCATTTCCGAAAATTGACATTGTAAAAATACAATACTCAAGATAGTCTTTTCTCTTAAATGGTCAAAAAATCTTATCTTTAAAAAGGTCAAGTACATTTTTTTTTTGAAAAATGTAGTTTTCGTGTAATTTCTGCTTAAAGTGAATGCAATTTATCAACAAAAAAAAAAACTCTTCTCGAAAATTTACAAAATGTTAATACTAAAAGAAAAATTCGTTTAAAATATATAGTTTTTTACCCCCAAAATATCCAAACAAATATTGAATATTAACATTGGGATGTTTATGGCCTTGCTTGCTTGGATCATGAGGAACCAGTAAGTATAGCTCCTCACGACTTATCATCCATATCGGCATTATTGGTATCTGCGAGGGATATAGGAAATCATTTCATCGAAGTCGTCTTCAATGGGTACAATGGGCACATCAATTCGGCAATTATCCTGGTAGTGTCACAATGCGGTGCTGGGCGTGGTGCGAACTTGGTATATTTTTTTCGTGATTATTTAGCGCTGAAATTGTTTCAACAAACTACTTTTTAGTATCACTCAGGAACACCGATGAGGGCGTAATAGTTCCTCCGGGTGTTTGTTTTAGGGAAGTCCCCTCGCCTTTCATCGTCAGGGTGCTTGTTTAGATGTCTCCTCGCTTCTCACCATCGGGGTTTTTGTTTTCCGTATCCTTTTTCACGCTAGGCTCCGAACTTAGGTACTTTGGTTTCGTAAACACTTCACGTAACTGCCACACCACACCTCGCTGGGTTGTTATACAGTCCTGAGGGTTCAAAAAGCAATTTGAACATCTGCATTTGCCGAAAATTCAGAGGTTTTAACGAAAACCGGTCCAAAGTATGGTGCTACCGGGGGGGGGGGGATATACGAATGAGTGAGTTGTTCGTGTTTCCTAAGACGTCAACTACTTTGGTCGTTAGCTCCGCGAGCGTTGTGCATTAACCGGAAGGTGGCCGTGTTCATTCCCCATTGGAAGGGGTGATCCGGAGGCGACCTACACGTCACCTCGCGGGGTTTCCCTCTCCAGAGCGGCAACGCCCCCATCCGGGATAAGCTCTCATTATGTGTAACAATATAGTGCATAAGTGTAAATAATAAGTGTTGGTGCATGGGGAGACAATGGGACGAGGAAGGGGAAGGAATGATCCCGCGCGGTCCGAGACCAGGTTCTAAGGGTTCTGCTCCGGCTTTCGCCTGGTATCCTCCAGACCGCCGCTGAATTCCATCTCGATATACAGACAAAAATCTGTCACCGTCAGCACTCGAATTCTCGGAGCTTTCGCCTGAGACGCCGCAGGGGCTACAATTGTTGTGCTGAGTCATCTCAGCAGGTACACAAATACGAATTAACTAGAATACAATGATTATAATTATAAAATTGCTTTTTTCGTGCTGTAGAAGAGACAACTTTTTCCGAAGGACCTATGGGATAAAGAGGCATGGAAATTGGGATGCGTAAAACGGCCAAGGCTGTAAAAAACGCTAAAAAGATAGAGAAGAGAAAATGACAAGAACGTACTAACCTGAAAATCCACATGACGACTCTTGGCTTCTTCCTTTTCCCAAGACATATGAATAAATGGTCGCTGGACATAATTATAAATCACTTCTGCTCGCCCACCAGCTCTTTTTTTAATTTTTTCCTTGTATGTAGGGTACCCTTCAATTCCTAGGCGAATTTTCTTAAGGCCTCTTTCTTTCATGACTTGTTTCGCTACGTCTCTATTTTCGATATATTTAAAGAAGCGATACATAGCAGTGCTGTTTACAGCTGAAAAAAAAAGATCATATGAAATTATCTTTTACATACATCGTTAGACAAACAATACAAAATAAATGAACATTCTACATATTAAAATTCTTTTCAAAGAGTCCAATTGAAGGAAACAAAGGTAATAAAGAGGTGACTCTATTCAAAGTGATATTCTTACATTAGCTACAGTGGCGCAGTTACGCATAACCAGACTTCTATATAAGCAGAATTGTTTGTTCGCCCATTGCTGGTGATGTGCATGCACACCTGGTTCTGAGCATTAAAATAAAAACATCCTTACACGAAATTCTCCATTCCTTTTACAGAAATACTGAATTACTCTTAGACTTAAATCCATCTCATATTCGGTGCTTTCCCTGCCAAACAGTCGCTCAACGGACTTTTTATATAATTTACTCCTTTTCATCCCCATTTCTACAGTACTACCTTTATAGATGAATATTCGTTGGCGTGCGTACGGCGGGGGAAGGGGACCCACCTAAATATTTTGAAAGAAGCCCACAGTCTTACGTAAAAAAAATAACAAACAAATAAATTCCTTAAATATGTTCAATTTCTGATATCTCCTTTTTAACCAATTTGGAGAATTATTCTTCGATATATGGACAAGAAGCTCTCCAAGACATCTGGCAAAATCATTAATGGTTCGTTATAATATTAACTATATTTATAATTTAATTCTCCTTATTTGTATCATTTATTTACTAGTAAAATATGACACTTGTAAACAAAATATGTCCCACCTTGATTAGGGTGCGCAGGTCTATGTGAATACTGAAAGTTCTTACGACTGTAACATTGTACTTGCATGTAATCATGTTTGCCATCTACCATTCTAAGTAAACTTAAATTTTTTTATCTATTTGTCTTCGACCAGAGGAATTTGTAGAATTACGCAAGTAGATTCAAAGAAAGCACTCTAATAGTTTAAAAAAATCTGCACTTTTTTCAGCATTACACATCTGTGTCAATTCGGAGTACTTAAGAAAGTAAATAATGTTAATTAACCTCTATAAAATCAATTGTTCCCCATTATTACCCGAAGAGACCTCCCTCTGCATCGGCGCATCTCGTGAGTCTGTTTTCCATGCTTTTTGGCGCACTCTATAATAAAACACCTGGAGTGTTTCGTGTTCGTTCAATTCTATTTTGGAACGACTGCCTTGCCATGCTTACATCAGATTCAGGAGATACGTAAACCAATGCATCACATTTTCGCACAGAATCCATTGGATTCAAAATGGGCGATCTGGCTGGCCATTCCATGAATCCCTAGTGACCATCATCTTTGCGGTAAGAGATTAACCCTCTGGTGGGAACATCTACCTGACAGGCAGACAGTTTCTGTTATTACTGGGAGCGCTATTACTATGCCAAACGTCTTCGCCCTCTGTAAGTGCTTCAATGCGCTTCTAATCTTCAAGGACAGAGGGTCATTGGAGCTGTGGAGTGCGACCTTTTCGTGAAAACTATTGTGTTTAGAAACCAGCGATGTCTCATAGGCAGATGTTCCCACAATTGTAGATGATAACTGCTTTTCATGCAGATGTATACTATTCATGATTTAAAATCTGCTTTTGAAGATTATTTTCGATTTGTCACTGTGCTAATTTAATTACTGAAAGATTTTATTACATTTCTGTGACGATTCCGTTGATTTGAACGTTAGGAGAATTGTGTATCGAATAGTTTTGAATTTGTGTTCCAAATCTTAATCTATATTTTCAAGACAAAATTTCAGTTAATATCATTTATCTATCCACAGTACAGTATAGTATACTGGTTGTATTAAATAGTAGCAGCTTAGTGGACGATTATCTTCATAACCACATTGTCAAATTTTGTAAGTACTAAACATTCTATTGATTTTGAGGATACCTGACATGGCTACAAATCGTTCTACTCTTCTTACTCTCTACACCCTCAAAGGCAACCTTCTAAAAACCTTCACACACAAACAATAATTTAGATCATATCCAAAGATTGAAAGAGGTCGTTCTCTACACTGACGGAACTTCTCTACAAGTCGGTAACACTGCGCATCTTCCCAATCGTGCACCCGTGACTGCACAAAAGACACTGACACCATATCGAGTCGCAACTCAAAACAAATTTAGTATTTTAGATTATGAAGCAGATTTTCCTCGCCTTCCTGATCCTCACAACCATTTTCTACCATTGACAAAACATGCACACACGATCACAAACAGGCTAGGAAGTGCGTCAAAACCAAAACACGTAAAGCTGCGCATCCTAGCCCACTTGAAAACAAAGACATTCCTACTGAGATTAAAAACAAGTACTTATTTTAACGGACATCCATGGCCGCCGCTTTCCCTCCATTCTCAGTTAGAAGGTACTCTCCAACTACTCAGTCTCATCTAGTAATAACATATTAATGGCAAATGAAAAGAAAACTGTTTCAATGCAGTTTTCCATTGAAAATGAACGGTGATTGACTGATGTTAAGGTAACAACATTTTTAGGTCTTTCAAATCAGTCAAACCTTAAATGGAACATCCATTTTAATGAATTGAACACTAAATTAAGTTCTTGATGCTACGCTTTCAGAATTCTTTCAAATTCAGTCAGCTTTCACACAGCTCGTAGTTTATATTTCGCGAATATTCATTCCCGTCGGTGATATGGCCTAATATTACGGGGAAAACATATTATATCAATCGGATCCTAATACAGGGTAAACTACTGGATTCTTTGCTATAAGAGTATTCATTATGTGGACATAAGCCAATATAAGTTTGAAAGAAAATACAGTGAGTGGCCAAATTAATATGATCAGTTGTATTTATGAAAATAATACAACTTTCTTTCAACAGTATTTATTGATGATACAAGTTCTGTGACCTTCAACATGTACAATAATACGCAATTATTATAGATTATTTAACATCTAAAATAAGAAAATGATAAAAAAATCACAGAGAGCTTTTCAATTTTTGTGATGCCATACCTTTCCATTTGATCACTTACATGGCCCCTTTTGGCATGCTCTCAATACACGGTTTTTTGCCATCTCCTTGACATTCAAATTATGGTACAAAATATTTTGAAGCCTTATCATTAAGTCTTGTTAGTGACAAATTTATTTTCTATTTCGTGTTTCATCAGATGCCAAATGTTCTCAAAAAAAAAAAATACCGGACCGCAGCAAAACTAGTGCTCTATCAGCCACAAACTGGGTGATACCTCTAGCCTTATGGCAGAGAGCACCATCATGCAAGAATATGTAGTTTTTTTCATTAGGAAACCATTCCTGACGTTGTGGTAACAATTCCTTTTGAAGTACTTTTTTTATACTCGTCCTGACGCATTGTATCTTTCACAAAATACAACCTCCCAGTGCCTTTACTTCTGGTTACCGACCAAACCATAACTAGTGTGAGGTGCTTTACAATGTGAACAATCCAGTCAGGATTACATTTTTCTCCGGATAGTTTTAACGAAAGTGAATTTCTCTGCCAAAATCTCGAATGTTCATTCATCTAAAAACATACCTCTCAAAGAGTAAAGACTTTCATAAATTTATTTAAATTATCTTTTAAGTCTTTGAATACATCACGAGACTAAAATCGATGTGTTAATACCATATTCCAATCATCAACGGTCTTATGGCGATGGTCTTTTGTCCAATGAAGTCTTTTCAATAGCATTGGCTTCTTGGCTGGCCTACAGATTTAATTCCTTCTTCTTCAAGCCGTCCAGTTCTTTCCGAAACATCCATGTAGGAATCTTAAACAATCTTCGTGACGACTACTGTTCTTCTTTCTGCTTTTCAAATATGTGTTCCTGATTTGTCTATCATATCTTTGTGGCGTAATTAGCTTTCTCCCACATGCCCCTTTATGTGCAGAAGTTAATAGCTCTCTAATTTCGACTTTTTTCGTAACATTATTTACTGACGCCTGAGATACATGCATAATTTGCGTTATTTGTCTCTGAGAATAGAGAGATGAATAAAGGTTTCATTTCATATTTTTACTTTCTTGCACTTACTAACGCAAGAAAAAGTATTGTAATCGTGTGCCGGAAAACGGCGAATTTCCCCACATAAAATCTAATTGTACGGAAAAAGTGGATACATCTAGTTGCTAAATAGAGAAAAATCCTTTAACACGTCGTGTAGCCAGAATCTGTTTCTTGTAGGTCCTTGATACCGAAAAATCGATTGACGGCAAAACATGTCTGTCTTTGCACAACGCTTGCGCATAAACCGTTCAGCCGATTTTCTCCAAAATCGATATTCCCCAATTGTTCTAGCTGTTGTTGCGGACTCTTGGAATTTGAAACCGAGATTTTGATTTTGGGAGGTATTTTACATGAAGACCCTGGGCCATTTTCAAAAAGACTCCAAATTTTTTGATAAAAGTTTGTCGTTGAATAATGCAAAGGACATTTAAGAGAATGAATGGTGCAGGTCTGATTTTCGTTGACATCCCCTATTTTTCGAAAATTAGAAAATAAATTAAAACTTCAAAATTGGAGATAGATATTTTTGTTTCAAAGACTGTTGTACAAAATTTGCTCCTAAAAAAGTCATGTACAATTATTTGAAAAAAAGTAGTGTGTCCGTATTTCGCGATTGAAATTTAGAGCAAAAATTTCTCGAAATCCGATCCAATTTCTTTCTTTAATTTTTCTCCACGTATGTAATACGGAATGGGAAGAAATAAAGCGCTAATTTTAATTTTCGGGTATTGCTAATTTTTTCGATAACTGCGAAAAAATCGAAACTACAAAATTGAAAATATTGATTTTAGTCTCAGACAAATTTCGTTGCACAAACTTAGCTCATTAAAAAAGGTCATGAATAATTTTTCGAAAAAAAAATTTTTTTGCGTTATTTCTGATTGAAGTTGAGTTAAGTTATATACAGGTTTTACACCAACTACGGACCACGAAAAAAATTGAATGAATGATATGAACTGAATTGAATAATTAATTTCATTCAATTGTTGCATTCTCGCACTTTTACTTAA